ATAATGCTCCTGTCTGCTGATCCCGTTCAATCTAATTTCCTTGCTCGTTTTTTTCCTTCCCTTTTTTTTTTATTAAATATCTTGTCAGCCACTTCTCCTCTCCTCTTCCTGCCAGCTCCTGCCTGTATACGTGCTGTGTGGCCACCAGCCTTTACCGGTGATTAATGTGATTTCAGATCATCAAATCCTTCGAGCTGAACCCAACTCTGCCTCTCCCTCGCTCCCTCTGAACACTTTCCCCGTGGAGTCACATCTCCAGCCAATCATCTTTGTCATCTGTCTCCCGTCTATTCGCCTCTCCCCCAAAAACCGGTTTTGCCGGATCCGCAGAGCAAACACTTGGTCTGAAACACTCCCCCCGCTGGGCTCTAATTGGTGATCAAGATGTGTGCAGGAAGGAGACGGAGGAGCCTTTGGCCCGTTTCTGTTTCCCTCATCACATTCACAGGGCCACAGTCACATCTGCGTAACCATGGAGATGCTGATAAGGTGACTCATGACTATTCATCAATGGCACCGCCTGATTGGACAGCACCCCCGAGAGCCTTGGGAAAAGTATTCATCAGCGCAGCCTGTGTCCCCGCTCTACCTTAATATGCCCCCTTGGAACGGCGAGGAAGCATCTGTTTGTTTTTTTTCTTCCCCCTCGTCCTCTCCCCTCCGTCTCGCCCCTTCGATCCTCTGCTGCGGAACATTGTAACCCTCTGACCTGCACTCTTCACCTTCCTCTCAGCTGATGAGGGTAATAACCGCAGGTACAGCTGATGAAGCATTGCATGGTAGCCTTCTTTTCCTGAGTGGTTTCTTTGCAAATGAATGTTAAAATTCGGAAAACTTTTTCTCTCCCCCTAGGATGTGTTTTCAGTAGTGTGGGCTTCTAAATACCCTTCAGACACGTAAATGTGACTCATCAAAAACTGTTTTTGCTCTATTAGGAGCATTTTGTATTCCATTTGAAAGGCCATTTGCTTCTGTCTGCAGCAGTTTTTTTGTTTTTTTATTAAATTTTTGAATGGGGCTCTGTGAAATGGTCACAAAAATAAATCGCTTTATGCAACCTTAGTTTGGAGAAATATATTTTAGTTCTAGCTGAGCAGACCAGCTAACAGGTCGACTGAGCAGGGTCGAACAAAGTCGTTGCTTCAAAACAAAGCTCCAACCGCGGTCAGTGTTATTTAAAGCAGTGTCTCCCAAAGTTGGGGTTGGGACCCAAAGTGGGGTCCCGAAACATCAAGGTGCGGTCCTGAAAAGATTTTCTGAATTAATTACATTTTTGCCTTAGTTGTTACAAACGAGTGAGGTWAGTGTATTTAAAATGGAGAAATGTAGAATAAAAAAATTGTTACTATGCCCATGTTTTGTTTACCTGATTCAAATGTTTATCATCCAAATATAGTTGGGGGCACAGGTCTCTGCTACTGTTATTTTGTGGGTCAAAAGCTGAAAAGTTTGGGAACCACTGCACTTTGGTTCCCAAAGTTGGGCTTGGGACCCAATTATGGGTCATGAAGCACCTTGGATAATCTCCAGAAGTATATTTGAAGGGTAATAAAATAATTGCTGATGTAATATTTTTCCTGTAATTATTACGATAACACAAAATAAGTAAAAATAAGTATTTATATTTGTGTACAAGCTGTTTAGATTGTCAAAAAGCCTGTGTTTTTAGGGTTATTAACGAAGTTCGTGTACTCAGACCAGTAATATTTGGGGTCACAAGTTTTTGCCATGGGTATTTTGTGGGTCAGAAGATAAAAAGTTTGGGAATCACTGATCTAAAGTACCTCAATGTGATTGAGTTAAAGTACAAGTATCTTATCATAAAAATACTTTAGTAAAAGTTAAAGTCTTCTCTAAAAATATTACTTGAGTAAAAGCCTTAAAGTATCTGATATTTTTTGTACTTAAGTATCAAAAGTAAATTTCTGACAAAATCTACTTCAGTATTGTAAGAAGTAGAAAGTCCTGATAAATTGTGTCTCCTGGATTGAGTGAATTTAATTGTGGTTGGATGAGAAGCATAAATATACACCATTATGACACCCTGTTAGCTTGTACACAACCCATCACAGCTGCACGCTGTTAGAAAATATATATTTTTTGGAGAAGTCACCTCCCAGTGAATGTCATTTTGGACAGTCTAACTGCTCACTTTTACTCAGTACTTTTACTTTTAATACTTAAGTAGATTTTGTGTCAGAAATTTACTTTTGATACTTGAGTACAAAAAACATCAGATACTTTAAGACTTTTACTCAAGTAATATTTTTAGAGAAGACAAACTTTTACTAAAGRATTTTTTTAATGAGATACTTTTAGTTTTACTCAAGTATCACTTTGAAGTACTTTATACAACACTGAAAAGTACTGAGTAAAAGTGAGCAGTTAGATTTTCCAAAATGACATTTATTGGGAGGTGACTTCTCAAAATATATTTTTTCTAACGGCGTGCAGCTGTGATGGGTTGTGTACAAACTAATAGTGTCAGAATGGTGTATATTTATACTTCTCATCCAACCACAATTAAATTCACTCTATCCAGGAGACACAATTTATCAGGATAGTATTCTTTTTAAGTAAAATCTCAGAATAAAATAGGAGTAACGACTTTCTACTTCTTACCTTTTTTTAAAAAATGTAGCGAGTAGAAAGTACAGATAATTGTGTAAAAAATGTAATAAGTAAAAGTAAAAAGTATGCTGAAAAATAATTACTCAAGTAAAGTACAGATACCTAAAAATCCTACTTAAGTAGAGTAACAAAGTATTTGTACTTAGTTACATTACAACTCTGACTGCGGTTCATGCAAACTCTTTACATGTAAAACAGGTAAGATATTTATTGTTCCCAAGCTTTCCACAGAACAGCTTYACTGTCAGTTTGTTTTTATTTCTAACATTATGAATCAGGAGGAGACTATTAGAGACAACCGTGTCAGTCGAGGTTTTCTAACCTTGAGTTTTGAAAATTAAGTCAACCATAATACTTTTCAAAGAAAATAAAAGTAATTATTATTTTATCACTCTCAGGTTTAAAGAGAAGTAGATGTATGATCAGTCGTTGCTGCATGACTCAAACCAAGAGAGCAGAAATGTGTGGGAACGTTAAAGTACCGTTTTAACTGTGATTCACAGGAAAACATGAACTGTGTGGCACATTTACAGCAGTCTGTCGTTTACATTCGCCTTATGCTTTCTTCGTCGTTCTCAGCGTGGTCTTCCTCACATTTCAGCTCAGGAGTAAAGCAGCAGCCCCGCGTTCGGGCTTAAAGTCAAGGTCAAGGGAGTGTGACAGGAGATCTTTTGCTCGAAGGCTGATCCTGTCTGCTGATGCTGCGTCCGAGCTCCGGTTCCACATGAACACTCTTGTCTGTCCTGTTTCTGTTGGGATGCCGCAGGAAACCTGCCTCTTTCCATCCAGATGGATAGAGGTGGGTGATGGACAGCCGGTGCACACTTCTGACAGCATCATGTGAAAGCTCAGATACAGTCGGTTTAGACTGTAGTGGAGCCGTTGTGGGGGGATGAAAAAGACCAGCTTTGCACTCGTGCAGCATTTGTGTAATAGAAGCATGAATAATTCAGCTGTAAATTTATTAATAAGGCTAAATAAGAATAAATGGTGATTTCTTTTTTGTAATTAAAACTCAAATGCTAGATGCTCAGCTCTATTCTCATCACAGGAGTGTATAGGAGCCGCAGTGTCCAAAATAGTCCAATTCAGTGAGGACAGTAAATGTGAAAAACACTTCAAGTCCACGTTTTACATTATTGTCATATTGCAATTCTACAATTTCTGTGAAGAAATCACAAATTTTGTAGGTGTTTCTTCAAACAACCTACTGTAGTCTTGTTCTGACTAGCCATTAGTTTGTCATCTGATCAAAACTAAACTCTTTTTCAAACTGAGGTCATTTTAAAAGCTACCTACAAAAGACAATATACAGTAATCAGTGTTTATAGCCTATAGGGCCCCGTTTCAAAAGATTTGAACTTTTACTTTAGGGCAGGGCTATTCAAATGGCGGCCCGCGGGCCACATCCGGCCCGTGAGTGACCAAAGCGTGGCCCATCAATTGGTTCATTCATCTCTAAAGCCCAAACCCAAGGTTTTCTACTTTAATTACTATAAGTTCTTTTGGTTAAACATGGACATGTTTGGTGTCTACAGAAATGTGAGAAACCTACTTAAAAGCTGGTAAAAAAAACATTTCTATGCACACTCAAAACAGTTATTAGAAGCAGCTGAAGATATAACTATGAAAGTAGGGATGCACCAAAATGTCAGCCGATATTGACATCCAATATAATTATTGCTGTTTTGGCCAAGAACTGATATTTACTGATAGTACACAAATGCACAAATTTTATTATACACATATACGCACAAAACACAGTTGGGTCTTTTTTTGATGCAGTAAATAAACAACCAGACCTCTGACATGACTCTACTTCAGTTATTCCTGGCTGCACAGCATCAATATCACTATCATGATCAAACAGATACTGCTCAACCAACCGTCTCCCCTCCCAAAACAAAACAACAACAACAAAAAAGCTAAAAAGTGGGAAATCAATATCAGATGTTAATAACAGCCCAGTTTTACACTGATACCGATTTTCTAAAAAATGACCAATATCGGCCGATACCGATATTAATGCCGATATATCGTGCATCCTTATATGAAAGTGAAAATAAAATTGGTTTAAAAATTTAGCAAGTCAGAGATGTCAAAATATTATTCGTGTTAAATAGGAGGCATAATGTGTTCTTTTTAATATTGTTTATCATTACATTTATTACATAGGGTTCTGTATGTTATATTCATGATTAAATGCAGCAAAATAAACTATTTCAAAAGTTCTTTGTAATACTTGGTTTATTTTCATACTGACTTTAATTGCTGGATATTCGGCCCCTGAGCTGTTGACCTGCAGTAACTGTGGCCTCCGGAGCAGTTTAGTTGAACAGCCCTGCTTTAGGGCATAAATCTTGACTTACATTTTCTTGCTGGCTGTCGTTCCCGGACCGGTCATCTTTTTGCATGTTGCGAGCCACCTCTGCCAGGTCTTTGTCACTCGGTGTTAATCGGGGAGGAATCTAAGAAAAATGGGGAGAGAAAAAAAAAACGTGTTTATTTTTTTCCTAATAATTGTGTGCATTTAAAACAGTCAAAGGCAATGAATTAAAAGTAACAATGACAACAGAAATCAATGAAAAAAATATATTTAATAAAAAAAAATCCTAAAACTTGTCATCATTTGATTATAAAGGCCTGTTCTGAGGTTCTGCTTCAATGTCATGAGAGTTCTGTGAGTCGAGAACATGAACCTTTTGATCTCCCAGACAACCAGCTGGCTCTGTGTACATGTGTATGCATGTTTGTGTGATGAACGGGTGCCATAAAGCGTGTGTGTGTGTTCGTGAGAAAGGACACATGCTGAGATTCACTGTCCTATTAGAATGCATTAGAGAGTAAAAGGCAAAGGTCAGTGAATTATCAGCCAGAGTTACACAAGCCTGTTCTGTTTACCTGGCCTAATAACCCAGAGCCCACACCTGCCCCTTTTCTCTGTCCTCTGTTTCATCTCTGACACACACACACACACCTCTGTCACGGTTTTTGGAGAGTGGAGCCAGGAATGCAGAAAAACATGAGAAGTTGGAAGAAAAACTAACTTTGAAATAAATTTTGAACAAAACAAAAGGCTGACATGGCAGCAAAGCTCGACAGGATGCAGCCATGACTCAAAGCTCACACGATTCCAGACTGAACGTGAAGGGAAAAGCTGAGGGACTTTATAAACTGGGACTGATGAGAGGAGTGGAGACACCTGGGCAGAGTGGGCGGGGCATGGAGATGAAGAGCAGAAACTGACTGAAGAGTGAGGTGCCAGCATAGAGGGCACTGGGGAAAAGAAACAAATGACATCAAATATATGTAGTTCTACAAACACACACACACACACACCAGAGCTATCGATCATAACTTTAAAAACTATAACACAACAGTTAGCTAAAAGCAGCTGAATCTACAACAGCTTTCAGACAAAGTGTTGAGATGCACACAGAAAACCCAGCATAACTTCAAAGAGCAAATATTCACGCCTTATTATAACAAGTCTGAGGAACATAAYAGGACAATTCAGGAATGCTTATGTATATCTGTACCTGAGATACTTGGCTTATCAATATTTCAGATGTGTTTTTGTGTGATGCTCATGCACAGCCTTTAAAAAATATTTTATCCCTGCAGCTGCTTCCGCAGTCTGCCCGCCACGTTTGTGATTCTCATGGAAGCAATGAATGTTCTCCAGCCTGTTCCATGCAAAGTAACGAATAAAAATGTGCCACCTGCAGTTTACTACATAATCCTTCATCTTTACGGTGCGCAGGAGCAGAAACAGCACCAACTCCTTTCTGTCGTTTTTGTCTGGTGGACCAGGAACTCTGCTTGTGCCAGATGTTACCGTTCACGTGGGAGATTGTATTGTCAGCCTTTTTTTTATCACACTTTCATTTTTCCTATTTATAGCTGCTAATGTGACATTCCACATGGGAAATTAAGTTATTTCCTCTCTTGAACACTAATCAGTTCATAACCAGTCAAAAACATTTACTCCTTTAGGTTGCTTCAAATAAACACAACTAAATCTACAAAATACATCTCTGAGCGTTTTTATCACACCGAACGTCAGATAATCAGCTCCAAAACAAAAACCCGGGTCAAACCGCGGCACTGACCCGTTTGCTCTCTGCTCTTCGGCTGCTTGTTTTTCCACCCACAGAGCTTTTTGTTTAACTCTGAGAAATCATAGCTGATTTCTAATTCGGTCTCCTCAGGGTATGTTCATGTTTTTTTTTTAGTTGCGTAACCTTCTGACATTGCAATCACTGAGTTTGAGAAGGCCTCCATAAATACCCTCTCTTTGAAATAGCAACAAATTTGATGMCATTTAGTTAAAATGTTTTGCTTTTATTTCTCTTTCCCTCTATAATCACTGATGCAAGTTGAAATAATTGTGATGTCTATGAAGTTGATGCCATTGTTGTACTGCTGTTTTTTTTCCCCTTTCAGGAGAACATTTAAAATTTTTGAGTTGCCTTTTTTTTAACTGGCAAGTGCTGCTTTACTTTTGCAAACTAAAGTCTGCCATGGCTCGAAAAAGAGGAAGCTGTTGAAATGAACGACATAAACTCCCCTCATTTCCATCCCTCTTTTGGCATTTGAAGAACTCTAGCTTTGAATGCACTGGGATATACTGTGTGTATATA